GGACATATAAAGCAAGTTGCCTGTGGTAGTCAACAACCACCAATCTTTCACAGTAACACATGCATTGTTATGAATTTAAATAGTCAAAAGTTTTTAAATGAAAGCAGCGTAAAAACTGTTTTCAACTCAAATATAATTTTTAGCTGCACAGGTGTCATAGTTCATGTCAATAAGAGCAGGAAATCTGTGTTGCACCCCCAAAATATTCAAAGCAATCTGTCTTTAAAATAACACTTTGTGCGAGAAAATTCAATAAAAGTTATAAAACATTGCAAGTTCGACCTGAATATTTTTGAAGGTTGATCCGATCAGTTAAGGAATTAATCTAAGAAAACCAGAATTCCAAGAAACACAGAGACAACTTCCCAGTTTCCTTGTCTTTTTCCCCTCCTTTTTTGAAAAGGCGTTTATAACATTGACCAAAAAGGAACAAGTGAGTAAAGTTTTGAATAGGAAGAAAAGCACAAAATAATTTATTGTTTTGATTTCTGTGGATTTTTACTAAATTCGGTTTCAAATGAGGCCCCGATTTCTGTATGTTTTATAAAAGTCGTTGAACAGCCGACACACTTTTTGGGTTTACGACTATTAATGTTCGACTCCGTAACCTTGTAATTTTAAACCCAATCCAGAAGACGAGAAATTCTGGATCAAGTATTGATAGAAATTTTGCCTTCGTGGAGGACTTTTTGATGGAACTAACCCACATTTGCGTTGCATGGATAGGAAAACCATGAAAACCTCCCACGGTTAGCCCAATGGCAAAGGAACTCAAACCCATGATCCGTCTACCAAGTAGAATATTTTACGTCAGTACTGTGGTCGGTGCGAGCAGGGAGCGGAATTCGAATTAACCAGCCATCGCTGAGAACGTACCCAGCTCACCTCATTTGGAGGCAAGTGCTCTATCCCTTGAGCCACCACGGCTCTGAGGCCCCGGTATGTACTCTCAAAAGTTAGTTAACTCAGAATTTCATGCATAGCTGAAAATAAAATTCCTTACATTTTATTTAAATCGAGATGCACTAACGTAGCTTCGCGTTTTTATTTATTAAATTCTAAATAAATATATATATTTTTAAAAATATTAATATTTTAAACATTTCATTCATAATGCCAAAAATAAAGCAAATTACGACATAATATGTTTTACAACTATATTGAGTAATTAAAATGATTCATTTTTGTTTCTTTTGTTCAAAGGACCCCAGTTTATGGAAGGTTGCTGTGCTTTTTCAGTCAGTCCGAATGATTCAACCAGTTGTCAGGAAAAGGGAGGTTAAATTCCAGATCATAAATAGGTTTCTAAGACTTGTTTAAACTTTTCGTCTCAGAAGAATGCGCCTACTTTTGTGAGAAAAAGTTAGAATTTAGCGTGTTATGAATTTTGTGTGTAAAATTTTGAGTTGATTTTTCTCGAAATATGCAAAGAGTGAAATGATCACTTCAAAGAAAACTTTCATAAAAGGTGCTTTTTTTAAATTCAAGGAAATTGTAAAAAATAAAGAGTAGGTACGACGGGCAAAAGAAAAAAGCCGCACTCTTAATAACTTTTGATCTGATCATCCGATTTTTACGTACTCAATTTTAATTGTTCGAGGGGGGACTTATTAGAACAGACGATATTTTAAATTAGGAAATCAGACAAGAGACAAAAAAGTATTTTTTCTGAATCAACAGCACAATCGGATATTTAACTTCCAAAATATAGGGTTCAGCCGCAATCTGGAAAAGTATTGTCCTGATAGTTTGGCCTGGAGAACTGTCCACAGCTTGATTAATTAATTTACACATATTTCGCAGTGTCTAGAGAAATTTTTAAGTAAATTTAAAAAAAAATGGCACATGATAGTAAAATTCTTTTGTCCAAAAATACAAAAAAATAAATTTTAGTAGGTATTTATTTTTTATTTTGTTTACTAACAGTCAACGAATTTTAAATGGCAAGATACAATTTTTTTACATCATTATAAAGAATGCTATTTCACATATCTAAACACAAAATTTGAGAGAAGTTGGGAGAATAGTTCCTGAAAAAGCGAGTTTTGAAAATACTACTATATTAAAATTCAGTTTCTCAAGAACTGGTTTGACTGATTTCACTTAAATGTTAAACTTTGCTTACGGCTTGCAATTGCAATCAGCAAAACAGATCTCTCTTTGACAGGTTGTTCCCTATTTGTCGTACTTCTGAACAGAAAAATATCCTACAAACATTTGTGAATCCAATGAAAACAATTACAATTTGAAATTAAGTAAATTAAGCTAAATTAAGTAAATTAAGTGAATTAAGTAACTAAGTAAATTAAGCTTTACTTACAGCCGAAGTTGCAATCAGCAAAACATATCAAACTTTGTCAGGCTGTTTCCTATTTGTTGTCCTTCTAAGCAGAAAGATATCCTACAAAGTGAAATTACATTGGATCATTATAGAGACAGGATAACAAATTAAAGGTCTCAAGAAAACATAGAAAAAATTTAAGTTAGAAAAAGCGAGAGTTAACGATATTAAGAGCATTGGAAACACAACGCAAGGAAAATGACCGGAAACAATCAATTAACTTACAAACACAGAGATAAAAAAAACTATGCGCTGCACACCCTGAATAACTTCAAATCGCTCTAATGATCGGTATTTCACGAACTAAGTATTAATCTCATTAGTTTTCAATTAAGAGTTCCCATCTCAATGAGTGACTTCAACTTCACTAATTAATTAGTACTAACTATTAATTAAGTTACGAAACTATACACAAAAACGTACTTTCTCGGAATAAGCATGAATATTTTTTTTTACATATATGGATTTTTTACTCTAAAAATCTGGGGATAGCCAGCAATCTAGAAATTGTGTTCCTTATAGTATACTACAATATACTATAATATCCTTATAATATAACATTTTTTTAAAGTTATTTTATTCTGAACATCAAGTTCTTAAAGTTTTCAGCACAATTTAATTAATAGCTAACTAAACAATTCCAAATAGATTAAAATCAATTTATAGAAAATTTTCAAAGTAATGTTGCATAAAAATAATAAACAGCATCAGTTAGTCAGTATTCTTTCGTAATAGCAAACAAATTTGATTTTAAGTATAGATTGATAAGTAGGTCATAATGAAGTATAGATTATAATGAAGATTAATGATAAGTATGACTTCAATATTTAAAAAAAAAAGAAAAAATATTGTAAATTGCAAAATGATCCCCCGATTCGCCATTCCAAAATTCCATGATATGATAACTGTATTTTAGGTTATTTTATAACCGACGTTGAACAGCCGACCCAATTTTTGGGTTTACGACTACTAATGTTCAACTCTGTAGTCTTGTAATTTTGAATAGAACCCAGAAGACAAGTAAACTCCTGGTTTAAGTATTGAAGGAAATTTGCCTTCAAGGAGGACTTTTTCTTGGAACTTATCTGCATTTGCATTACGTGGAGAGGAAACCCACGAAATCCACCCATGATTATTCCAATGGCAAGGGGACTCTAACCCATGATTCGTCTAACACTGAGGACTATTTTATGTCAGCACTGTGGTCAGTGCAAGTTGAAATTCGTATCAACCAGGCCTTGCTGTGATTCGAACTCAGTTCACCTCATTGAAAGGCGAACGCTCTATCCCCTGAGCCATCACGGCTCATGATTACCGTATTGATAGTAACCNTGTGTTGTATATTGTGGGTAAGTTTCATAAAATTCCATGTGTAATTTCTTGAGTTATCGCGATTTTTGTGAATTTTCCTTAATTTATGATAACCAGTGTATATTAAAATTCAGTTTCTCAAGAACTGGTTTGACTGATTTCACTTAAATGTTATATTTTGCTTTGTAAAATTACATTGTTTAAAATGATGTACAAAATTGTATACCTTACAAATCGAAATTATTTTGACTATTATTAAATAAAATAAAAAGTTAATTATTTACAAAAAGCTAATTTTAGCAACGAATTATCTTTAAATAAACGAAATTTATAATTCAATGCAAAAATTTTTCAACTTGCTTAAAAAGTTCTCGATATATGGCAAACAATGCATACATGTGAAATACTTAAAAAGTAAAATCAACATTATAAGGTCTTAACTTAATACCTCTCTCCTGATCAAACTATTGGGACAATATTTCCCGCCTCCTAATGAGGTGAACCGGGTTCAAATCCCAGCGATGGCTGGTCGATACCCATTCCGCATCCGGCATGCAATGACCACAGTGCTGAACTAAAATATCCTCAGTGGTAGACGGATCACGGATGCCCTTGCACTTAGGCTAACAGTGGGTGGTCTTCGTGGTTTTCATCTCCATGTAATGCAAATACGGGGTAGTTCCATCAAAAAATCCTCCACAAAGGCAAATTTCTTCCAATACCTGGACCAGAAGCTCCCTTTTCTTCTAGATTGGGTTCAAAATTAAAAGGCTACAGAGTTTATAAAATAAAATTATATTTTTTTTACCAAAATTATTCCTCCTAGATTTTGGCGGTCAGAAATCCAAATTCCTCGTTGGAAAAAAGCCATGCGTATTCAGAAAAAGTACGTTTTTGCGTTTTACTTAAAATATAGTTTGCACTTAATTATTAACATATTTTGGGTCCCCCCCCCTTTAACTACTAAGGTTTGAGTTCTAAAACTTGAGCATCTGATCATTGAACTAAAAGTAATTCTGGGTGGACCTTTTTTTACATATATAATTTTCAACTCTTTGTTTAAACAGCTTGAAATTTCTTGTTAAGGAGGGAAAAACACTTTAACAAGAAGTGAGTTTGAAAATAATTACAAGATTTGAAGTAGTTTAATAAGTAGATTAAACTTTGCTTACGGCTTGCAATTGCAATCAGCAAAACAGATCTCTCTTTGACAGGTTGTTCCCTATTTGTCGTACTTCTGAACAGAAAAATATCCTACAAACATTTGTGAATCCAATGAAAACAATTACAATTTGAAATTAATTGCAAGATTTGAAATAGTTTACTAAGTAAATTAAGCTTTACTTACAGCCGAAGTTGCAATTAGCAAAACATATCAAACTTTGTCAGGCTGTTTCCTATTTGTTGTCCTTCTAAGCAGAAAGATATCCTACAAAGTGAAATTACATTGGATCATTATAGAGACAGGATAACAAATTAAAGGTCTCAAGAAAACATAGAAAAAGTTAGAAAAAGCGAGAGTTATTAAAAGCATTGGAAACAAAACGCAAGGAAAATGACCGGAAACAATCAATTAACTTACAAACATGCGCTGCACACCCTGAATAACTTCAAATCGCTCTAATGATCGGATTTTCACGAACTAAGTATTAATCTCATTAGTTTTCAATTAAGAGTTCCCATCTCAATGAGTGACTTCAACTTCACTAATTAATTAGTGCTAACTATTAATTAAGTTACGAAACCATACACAAAAACGTACTTTCTCGGAATAAACATGAATATTTTTTTTTACATATATGGATTTTTTACTCTAAAAATCTGGGGATAGCCAGCAATCTAGAAATTGTGGTCCTTTTAGTATACTACAATATACTATAATATCCTTATAATATAACATTTTTTCAAAGTTATTTTATTCTGAACATCAAGTCCTTAAAGTTTTCAGTACAATTTAATTAATAGCTAACTAAACAATTCCAAATAGATTAAAATCAATTTATAGAAAATTCTCAAAGTAATGTTGCATAAAAATAATAAACAGCATCAGTTAGTCAGTATTCTTTCGTAATAGCAAACAAATTTGATTATAAGTATAGATTGATAAGTAGGTCATAATGAAGTATAGATTATAATGAAGATTAATGATAAGTATGATTTCAATAATATTAAAAAAAAAAAAAAGAAAGAAATGAAACGAAAAAAATTTAAATTGCAAAATGATCCCCCAATTCGCCATTCCAAAATTCCATGATATGATAACTGTATTTTAGGTTATTTTATAACCGACGTTGAGCAGCCGACCCAATCTTTAGGTTTACGACTACTAATGCTCAACTCCGTATTCTTGTAATTTTGAATGGAACCCAGAAGACAAGTAAACTCCTGGTTTAAGTATTGAATGAAATTTGCCTTCAAGGAAGACTTTTTCTTGGAACTAATCTACTTTTTCATTACGTGGAGAGGAAAACCACGAAATCCACCCATGATTATTCCAATGGCAAGGGGACTCTAACCCATGATTCCTCTAACACTGAGGACTATTTTATGCCAGCACTGTGGTCAGTACAAGCTGAAATTCGTATCAACCAGGCATCGCTGGGATTCGATCTCAGATCACCTCATTGAAAGGCGAACACTCTATCCCCTGAGCCATTACGGCTCATGATTACCGTATTGATAGTAACCAATCATTTTTAAAATCATAAGAAACGATAGTTGTGAAACTACGAAATTCAGCCTACATGATTTGTTGCTGGATTGGGTGTAAATAATAAATGAGTACATGGACTTGAATTCATCACCATTAAAATTAGATTGTGTATCAAAATTTTCATTATTAATTAAAATAAAAAGATGTGGATTGAAAATTTATATTTTTCTTATTCTGCGATTTGAATAGATTATTTTAAAATCATCACTTACTTGAGTAGAAAACGGTGGTCTTCTGAAAGTGTACAAAATTCAAAAATATCAGGTCAAAAAGTCTGGAAAAAAAACACGGGAATCTACCCAAGTCAAAATTCTTGATGGTCCCATCAAAACAATTTGATGGTTTTTGTTGGTTTCAATGCGATTCATGATGAACATCAATTGATGGTCCTCCAAAATTATGCGTTCGTGGTTTTTGATATCCCAACAAACTTCCCGTATTCCATGATGGAAAATGCTACTTTAATACTGCAATGGTTAACCATCAAGAGAGGTTTGACTCTCATGGACCTACAACCCATGATGATCTTTGATGGTTCAAACTAAACAATTCCATAATGGTTTAACGGGAATTCTTGATGGTTCTCAGGAATATAACATCAAACCAATTTGGTATTTTTTTATGCTGGACTATCATAAATCGATTCGAATTCCTACTTACGGACGGTGGTTGTTTATAATCGTTCTAACATTTGATTTACTAGAAACTATGATGGAAATTTCCGAAGGTTTAACAACAACAAACCATCAAAACAAGTTGCTATTCTTATGTTCGACCATCACAAAACAATCCGAACATTGGGGTGATGGTTACATATGTTGGTAACTATCAACATGTTGGAATTATTGATGGTTATCTAATGTTGGTCCATCAATAGAAAATCATCAAAAATTTTGACTTAGGATTGAAAACTTATCAATAACTCTCTGTTTAATAAAAAAAAATCTTAAATTTAAATATATTTTTTCAAAGTACTCCCCCAAAGAATATTTTAATTAAAAGAAAATATAGATAGCATAAAATGCATTCTATATTGCAAATCCGATGTTTAGATTTCCAATTTTACGAAGCATTGGAAATTGTCATTCTCAGAGATGTGTACGATATTTCCCGATGTATCGTTCATATCGATGTCTACAAGCGTGATGTTGTGCTTTGTTTGTTCCCGATAGTACATCGATGTCTCCAAGATCGCGCGAAGAGCATTTCCCTCCGTAAGTGTGCAGAGATTGTTATCTCACTCCAATTTCTTTACATCGTGACTCATCGTTTTGCTAACACGATGAATCCGGATGTAACCGAGAATCGAAGTGTTGTGCAAATCCTGTTGATTTTTTTTAAACTATCAATCGAGCCGTTTATTGTTTTTAAACCGCTATTTTGCAGATATCCAAGTTTTTAAATATTGATAAACAATTATAAAAAATGCAACTTTATTTAAAAAAAATAATGCAACTTACTAATTGTAAGTTTATGCCGTAAAAAATATAAAACATTAATGTACCGAAATATCACGATGCCAAAATTTTAACATCGCCCAGTTCTACTTCTCACTGCACTACTTTTTTTTCTTCACACTACAGTACAAATTATGAAAAAACTTGCGACTACAGTAGTTTCACTACTTCTAGTGCGCTACTTTTGACCACTGGTCAAAGCACGGGGAAATATTATTTTTTGAAACAATAAAATAAATTTCTTACCACAAAATATACAACACTCATAATACAGTTCAAATAACGTCATAACTCTTCCCTACCTGAAAAATGAAGACGCAACTTTTATTAACAAAAATTACAAAGTAAACAATAAGCAATGTTTCATTTTTTGCATTTCAAATGCAAAATTAAATAAAAATGTATTAATAACTGTACAACACTGTTAATTCACGAAACTAATGTAGGCGAAAAATTATTGACACAGGAAGACCACAGGTAAGAAACATTGAGGAGATGATTTAAGTTTTTAACGCTTTCTATAAGGCTTGTTTGATCATTTTCTTAAGATGTGCACTGAACATTAAGTATAAGTTAAAAAGCATTAAACATAATTATTGTTCCTTAATTTTTCTTTCCCTCCCAATGCATGCATTCGATTTGTTATTAAAAGGTAGGCATGTAAAGACAAGCTGACGTAAAGGTTTGTGTAGTTTTTCTTTTTAAGTAAATTTCCAGTTGTCAATATGTCTGTTATGATCTCTTTTTTTTTCAGATAAAAAACTCACTAAAATTTGCGGTTAAGATCGTAACTTTTTCTAAAGGTTGACTGAGAAAAAATTCTAGCAGGATCAGAATTTTTTTATTAACATACCGCAGAATAATTTGAAATGTTGCTTCAAATCAAAACTCTCAGTCATTAAAATTAATAAGTTTATTACAAGTTGGATACTGAATGTTTTGGCCATAACTTCTTGATAACAATATTTGTTAGGCTAATGATTCCATACTAATGGTAAGTGCTCGATGGAAAATTATAACAGGTGGTTATTTTTTTTTTTATAACCGTCGTTAAGGACTACACAATTTTGGGTTTGCGACTCCTAATGTTCGACTCCTGGATCAAGTATTGGGAGAAATTTCCCTCTCTGGAAAACCTTCCGATGGATCTAACAGCATTAGTATTGCATGGAGAAGAAAACCACAAAACCTCACATGGTTAGAAAGACACAAGGGTATTCTGATCCATGATCCGAATACCCCTGAGGATATTTTACCTTACCACTGTGGTCGGAGCGAGCAGGGTCTGGAATTCGTACCGACCAGCCATCGCTGGGATTCGAACCAGATTCACCTCATTGGAAGGAGAACGTTCTATCTTCTGAGCCACCACAGCTAACGTGGTTGTTATAACAAAAAGGAGTTGAAACTTATTTTTGAAAAAA